TTTATTTGTGCAACGCCAGTCACCTAATCGTCATCCCAACTCAATTAGGTCACTGGACTTCAATTTACAACAATCTAGTCACTTAGTTTTTACTTAACAACAACAACAACAACAACAATAATAATAATAATAAAATCATATTTGATGAAGAAATTGGCGTTTAAAATCATTCCTCAAAATGATTGTGTTTATGCAAAACTAGTAAGCCCTGTTTAATAGGAATTGATATTCAAATTTTAATTTAATTGAAAGTCAATTATTAGTTTTAATCACATATATTATGAGATTCGTAATTTTCTAACTATACATTTTTTTTTTAAAATTACTATTTAAAATATCATTTTAAAAAAATAATAATAATGACCCTTAAATAGGGGCTAAATAACGACATCTAATTATTCCTTACACGTTTAGGTGAACTAACTTCAACAACGTAAAACACGTTCAAAATATTTGTGTAGCCGCCCTCCGGAGCATAGTCTAGTTGTGCAAAGGATAGAAGTGAGGTTATCTCACGCCTTGCTGGCAGCCGCAGTGTGGGGGTTCGATTCCTGAAACATGGAATTGGACTCCTTATAGGCGTAGTGTACAGGCGGCTCTTGTTTCCTAACCTGTTAGGGCACATCCCGCGATTTTAAATTAATTTTCCTGTCTTTTTCATTTATCCCATCAATAATTTAGGCCAAGAAATTAGTCCAAGAAAAGGACCCAAAGTGAGTAGGCCCAAGCCTCTTTGGCTGCCACTCTATAATATTGAGCAAGTGTCCTCACCTACTGAGATTGGAAAATTTTTTGTTCCTTTTTAACTTTTTAAAATATTTTTATTTTCTTTTTATTTTTTATATTTTTGATACAAGATATTGACATTCATAACAGATTGAAAAATGATAATCTTTTAGCCACTAAACACTTAAGAATCTTTGAGCGTGTAAAGCATTCCACTTCATTATATTTTTTGCAATTTTTTAATTTAAATAATATCTTGATTGTCTATGAAGTGATCGATTCAACTCACAACTGCTTTGCTACTTATTTTCAATAGCCTTTGCGTTTCTTCTGAAGACTTTAAGTAGGAAACATTGAACTAATGGTTCCTAATGTTTCGTAGTCGACATTTTTTTTTTTTTTTTAACATGTGAGACTCTGTAAGCTGGTCTCTCTTAATTGAAAATACCATGATTCAACTACTCGTTTGAATAGAGAATGTGACGATAGAATATTTCTACAAAATTTTAAGTTTGAAGACGTGCATACAAAAAATTATTAAAACAAAACCCCAAAACATAATGAAATGTTGGGGCTGCAAAGGCAATTTGCCTTTAAAAAAAATAAAATAAAATATTTTCTTATTCACTCCGCCTCATTTCAACTGGTGAGCTTTTGATATGATTTAAAGTAATTAAAGCCCCCTCATCATTTATATTAGAAGGACCCCTGTGACACAATGTCTTATATTTATTGGTAGTGCATGATTTTAATATATACAATTCATGTGAATATCTATCGAATGCAACCAAAATGGTTGATTTTCAGTGAAAGAAAATATTAAACAAAGAGCACAGGCTTAGTGGAATAATTAGATTAATATTTGTGTAGCCAAAGAATTGGTCAAATCAGTACAGCCAGTAATTATTTATGTTTACTGTACAAGACACTCCATGTCTTTGGCATTCTTAAATTAATTTTCCTGTCTTTTTCATTTATCCCATCAATAATTTAGGCCAAGAAATTAGTCCAAGAAAAGGACCCAAAGTGAGTGGGTCCAAGCCTCTTTGGCTGCCACTCTATAATATTGAGCAAGTGTCCTCACCTACTGAGATTGGAAAATTTTTTGCTCCTTTTTTAACTTTTTAAAATATTTTCATTTTCTTTTTATTTTTTATATTTTTGATACAAGATATTGACATTCATAACAGATTGAAAAATGATAATCTTTTAGCCACTAAACACTTAAGAATCTTTGAGCGTGTAAAGCATTCCACTTCATTATATTTTTTGCAATTTTTTAATTTAAATAATATCTTGATTGTCTATGAAGTGATCGATTCAACTCACAACTGCTTTGCTACTTATTTTCAATAGCCTTTGCGTTTCTTCTGAAGACTTTAAGTAGGAAACATTGAACTAATGGTTCCTAATGTTTCGTAGTCGACATTTTTTTTTTTTTTTAACATGTGAGACTCTGTAAGCTGGTCTCTCTTAATTGAAAATACCATGATTCAACTACTCGTTTGAATAGAGAATGTGACGATAGAATATTTCTACAAAATTTTAAGTTTGAAGACGTGCATACAAAAAATTATTAAAACAAAACCCCAAAACATAATGAAATGTTGGGGCTGCAAAGGCAATTTGCCTTTAAAAAAATAAAATAAAATATTTTCTTATTCACTCCGCCTCATTTCAACTGGTGAGCTTTTGATATGATTTAAAGTAATTAAAGCCCCCTCATCATTTATATTAGAAGGACCCCTGCGACACAATGTCTTATATTTATTGGTAGTGCATGATTTTAATATATACAATTCATGTGAATATCTATCGAATGCAACCAAAATGGTTGATTTTCAGTGAAAGAAAATATTAAACAAAGAGCACAGGCTTAGTGGAATAATTAGATTAATATAAATTTTTTCTCAAGATTGTTTATTTTAACCTAGCTCTTCTTTTAACACGTGCGAAGAGGTGGACAAAGAGAATGGATAAATTTGCAATTACAAGAATCTACTTTTGTCTAAATAAAATGAATAACGTGCTTGATGGATTGTATTGGCGTGATGTCGGCGTTGAATGAATGTATTATTGAATGATAAGGAGATAGATGATGTGACACACTATAATATATGGTGTAATCATTATTTCTCACCACATATTGTAGTGCATTATGTTAACCCAAGTGCTAAACTCGGTGCTTAGAAGATCAATCTTATATATATATATACATATAGACACACCAGAAAGTTATGTTACCTGAGTGCTAAACTCAGTGCTTAGGAGATCAATCTTATATATATATATATATATATTACTTCTCACCACATATTGTAGTGCATTATGTTAACCCAAGTGCTAAACTCGGTGCTTAGAAGATCAATCTTATATATATATACATATAGACACACCAGAAAGTTATGTTACCTGAGTGCTAAACTCAGTGCTTAGGAGATCAATCTTATATATATATATATATATATATAGATATATAGACACACCAGGAAGTAGTAGGGCAGCAGCTTATGATCTTAAATAACAGGAGGTGGAAGGCTGTGGCTCTATACAATCGTTTATGTTAGGTTTTAGGGCCGAATTATTATCGGGTCCAAAACTTGATGGCTATTACGCTTATTCCTTAGTTGGGATACCACACCTTGTACAATTCTTAACTTAGAGCCAGTTTGAGATCCATTTTCTTTTGAGAATGCATTTTGAAATAGTAGCTTAATAGAGAGTGTGTGATTAAAATATAAGGAAAAATTTTGGATTTGTGTGCGATATTATTTTATTGAAAAATGTGGTTGATAAAGAGAGAGAAAAATGTATATTAGAACTAATGGGAATCAAACAAGGGATTAGTAACGATTTCAAATAAAGAGCTCCATCCTGGACATGGTGGAAAGTCACATAGCTCACTAATCCAATGCTACCCACATCCAGATTTTTAAATCACTAAGTCGTTTACATGAAATTACCTGTGTGGAGTTCGTAGGCAAATCAACCTTATAAATAGGGAGCATTCATTAGTATATTATATTATCCTCAAATAAAGATATGTTAGAGAAAATAAGGTGTGGGCGATTTTTCTTTTTTATTTTTTTTATCATAATAAATTATTGCAATGACGGACGAGCATGTAGCCTCACATTATAGGTGGTGCAAACGGCAAGATGGTGGCTCCTTTTTCCAGAATTCTCACAACTACTGTTGAACGTTTCATTAGCAAGGACTTGACATCTCATTAATACAGACAGATTGTAGCAACGCTGTGAATGCTTTTCAAATGCCACATTTCTCTATGCACAATAACTGATTGCAAAATTTAATTCCGTAAATGAAATTTCAACACAATACAGATTACAACTTTTCTCTTTCGCTAAGATTGCAAATATTGTTTTTCTCTTTTTCCATTTTTTAATTTTGTTATAGTGCCACCAAATCTAGACCGTCAATAACGTATTGACTAAAAAGTAGAAATGAAATTTATCTGATTTCTTACACCACATAGGAATCAATCATATGAATTCTTTTTTGTATTTCTTAACCATACACCACCCAATTTGGACTCTTTTTTTTTTAAGAGAAGTTTCAATCTGACAATAGCATATACATACAAGTAGTAAGATCATTTATGAAAATCACACATACCTCAAACATCAAGTCACCCAAAATGTTACACCTCTTTTTTCATCTACTTTATTACTCTTTCACCACTTCAGACATCTAGGTATCGTGATTTGAGTAGCTCGGAGCACGAAGTATTATGATTTAAGTGAATAATCCTACTACGTGTATATATAGGATCGTCGAGTTGAAACTTTTCGCCTCAAGTTGACCATTTTATTTAACATCCTTTCAAGGAAAAATCCCATTAAATAAAAAATAGACTTGACCCAAATCGACTCGAGTCAATTTGCATCCATACATTCATCTTCTCAATTTTATTTTGAGTTGGGATTTCACTCAATCCAAAATGTCGGTTCAATTGTCGCGTTGTATCCGAACCCAACCCCTATCCACCGCCTATTTACATAGTTTTTCAACTTCCTCTTTTATTTCTCTTACATCGTTAAGACAAGATTAAACAATTGGACAGATGATTAAAAATTTGCCCGTGACTATAAGATTATTGAACAGATGCGTTTTATGGAAAAAAAAATAAAAATAAAAATCATAATAAAAATGTGAAACGTTATTTATAAAGTTAATTTACAAAATTGAATATTTATCCTATTTTGACAGTGAAAGAGTGGGTTTATTCCGGATATTTTGTTTCCCTTATTTCTCCCTCCAAAAGTAGATCAAAGTTGAAAGAATAGTTGTCATGCGCTCCATTAATTCTTCCCCCCACTCCCGCTCCTCCTCCCACCCAACAACCGTATATCAGGATTTCAGAGTCTCCCATTAACAGAGAGGCAAAAGTAACCGTCCCTATAAATTCTTGCAGTTTGGTAAAACAACTTCTCATACTTTTCTCTGAATATTCTTCTTTCTTGAACCCTCTTTTATATGATTTCTTGAATTCTTATACGCTTATCCTTGCCCAAAAACCTCTTAAACTAAAACCCATAAAGGAAAAGGATCACAAGATGCTCGTACCCATCTTAAAGATGCTGTTTTGGGGACAAATTATCTGTAAAATCAGATATAAAAAAACCCCATGGATCCCTTGCTCTTCTTTATAAAATCTTAAAGTGATGTCCAGTTGGTTACATGATGAAATAGCGCAAAAATTGAATTAAATTGAATCCACGCCGCCTTTTGGAGTGATTTAATTGAAAAATCAAGGATCGTCATCATGCCGCTTCCGTGGAACAAGGTGAAGAGCACAAGAATTTCCCAGCTGGTGAATGGTCACTTGCAGAACTCTCAAAGAAAACGTGGGGACTCTTCTCTTATGGTGGAGACTGGGTTCCCCACTTCCCTCGTGGATCTTTTCATCAAGAATCGAGAAAAACTGAAAAAACCATCGAAGAAAAAGAGGGAAAAATCATCTTCTATGAAGTTTGATGATGCAGCGACTTCCCGATACTCGCCATCTCCTATGCCTGCGCTTTCTCCTTATCCCTCGCATACTTCGCCTTCTCCTGATCCCACTCCTTTGGCTTCACCTCTGCATAGTCCATCGCTTTTGGCTTTGACTCCAGAGTCAACGGGTGAGAATGGTGGGGAAGATGTGAGAATTGGTCTTCAGAAGGGTGTGGATGCTAACGTGATTTTCCTGGCAGTTGTGAAAATGTTTCTTGTTGTGGTTTTGGCATTCGGGTCCAAGAAATTCGCTTTTGGGTTCACTGCGTCGGCGTTCTTGTTGTTTTTCGTCGATTATGTGTTGAAACACTTGATTGGATTGTTGAAGCCGTCTTTAGAAGCGCAGAAGGGGTTAAGATTGAGGGTTCTAAAGGTTTGGAGAATTTTTAGTTTCGAAGAGGACAAGTTTGTTTGTAAGAAAGCTGGTGTTCTGAAGTCGGAGATACAACAAGTGGAGTGTTTTACCCCGGTTTATTCTGGTTTGAAGGATTGTGAATCAAGTTTTCGAACTCAAGAAATTCAATTTGTTGGAGAAAAGTGTTATTTGCCCCGTATCAAGGAAATTCTGCTTGATGAGATAATGGAAGAGTCTAGCTATGATGGGGATATCGGATATGTAGGATTGGAGACACAAGAGCCAGTGACTGAATTGTCAGAACCGGAAAGAAAGAAGTCCAGGAGGTCTAAGATAAAATCGAAAATAAAGAAATTAATACCAAAGAATTTTCGAAGTTCGAGGAGAAAGGAACATTCTGAAAGTAGTGAAATTAGTCCAATCAAGGAACATAAGAAACACTCAGAAAGTACTGATATTAGTCCAATCAAGGAAATTAACATTCCTGTACTTGAAGAACAAGAAGCACAGGAATACGAGGATGTAAGAGCATTAGAAAGTCATAGCAAGATGTCTTCTTTATCGAGTGAAAGGTATGACAGGGAAGATTTTGTTGCTGCCAGTTATTGTAGAAGTGATTTGTCGAAAGGTAAAGAGGCGAGTCTAAACGGGCAACAGGAGAGAACAAAGGAAGGACAGATTTGGATATATTTTGTGCTCTGTTTGTTTGTTCTTATTGGGCTTATTGGAGGTCGGATATTCGCCCTTTTCCTTACATTGTTCTGGTGCTTGCTTCTGAAATCAGGCGAAACACTACCAAGATACATAAAGGTTCCTAGAATCTGGTCCTCTGCTAAAATATCTAAATAGATTTTGGATGTTCTTGTTCATAAGGGCTTTTTTTGCTGTTTGTTCTGTGTTGTTTCCTCTCTTGTGAAATGGCCATTAAACTTCAGTGTGTTCTAAAAAGCTTTACATATGTAGAATGTTCTATCGTTGATTGGCCACTTCGAGGTGTGTACCTTGGACTGCTGTAAATGTATAGATACAAATCATAAGTTATGATACATGTTGGATATTAAAAACTTTTCTTTACGTGCTTACTGCTTCATGTTCGGATTGGTTTTCTTCCTAAGTTCTCTTCATCTTGTAGACATTTACTATCGACTAATTCTGATATGAAACAGTATGTTTGAAGTGCTGAATTTAGCAGTAAGATTTCAGGTTTCCCACTGGAAGTGGCGAGGATTCTTGTGCAATTTACTATCATCCAGGCTCTGATTGGATATTTAGAGTCTTGACATTTAAGAAATGTCTTGGGAAACACGATAAACTTAAGGCATATTTGGTATGCTACCAGAAAAGTAGAAGTTAATATTATGATCATGACACCGCCCAATTCCGTCTAATATTGCTTGCCAAACATGCATGTTGGAAAACTTACAATATTGCTTACCAAATATATATGTATGAAATCGTTTTGAGAGTTTCAGAGTGCATATGTTGTGGTAAGTTGCTTTCCTGTGTTTTCATTCTTTCTTGTATAATATTATGATTGCTACTGTTGCTGGGAATTTTTCCATTGAGCCTTTAATGAGTGGAGATTTACTCAACATTTGTAAAGCTAAAGCAGCCTATCTTTGGTCCTAAATGTATAATCCTACTTTTGAATTAGGCCTTCTTATGCTGCATATTTTATCTTGACTCATTTATCTTAGAAGCTTACACAACAAGCGGATGCAACTGTTACTTTGAGTGTGAATAACTGTAACTATTACTTTGCTTGTTTCGATTTTATTTGTTTGCACTGAAACCATCTTGGTCATTCCCACTGGGGAAAGTATTATATCTTGTATATGCTAATCCGGTCTCGACAATGGCATCCATGTGTAACTTACATGTAATTGTCTGTTGTACTTGGAATATCAACCTGTCTCAATGCGAGCATCCATGAGTAACTTACATGTAATTGTCTGTTGTACTTGGAATATCAACCTGTCTCAATGCGAGCATCCATGTGCAACTTTCTCAAAGATATTTTACCGCTTTAGTACATGTGGACCAAATTTTTCCACCTTGTTCACCTTCAGTGAGGGTCAAGTAGTGGGTAAAGTGACATGGTGTTTTGTCGGTTGTAAACATCTTTTCACAGAATATTCTCGATTACAATCAGTAGCATGCTTTGTGAATTAATTAGGATTACTATTAGAGGTGCATCTAGTAATATACTTTAAAGTCTTTGTCCCAAGTCTCACCATTGTTTCAATTTACTTATGTGGATCAGGGAAGATACAGTCTGAGATAAAGGTGTAGGTTAAGAATGCAGTTCCATGTGAGGTTGGTGGAGGTGAGGTCAGTTAAAGACTGTCAAAGTAAGGATTTGATCACGTTCGTTTACAAGATCGAAAGCCTAGTGTCAAGTAGGGATTGCAGTCGTGATTTAAAGAATTGCTTAATCTGCCCCAAGATTTTGGCCTTTTAGTATATTATTGAACTCGAGAGGAGTTACAGCATTAGGGTAGAAATTAAATGGGAACTAGTAAAATTTTTGATAGAAAAACAGCAAGTTAGTAATAAATCAGTGGTCGAGGCAACATAACTTTCCTGCTAGAGGATGCGATTATCGAATTGAAATTGAAAAATACATAATGAAATAAACATGTTGCAAGACCAACCAATTAAAATTGTGCTTTGAAGCGATCAATTGTGTTCTTATCTACCTGAAATGCCTTAGCAAGAACATCATCATCGATACCAGGTACTGAACCGAAAACAGAACTTGCTACAATGACGATTCTAGGGTTTTGACTGTTCACAGCAGAGATGGTAACAGCATTCCATATCCCACATTTCGCTGGAAGTGAACAAGTCCCATTGGGAAGACGAAAACGTCACCCTTTTGTAGGACTTTGCTAATCAACTTGTTGTCTGGGTTGGAGGTCACAAAGCCCACCTGAATGCTACCTTCTAAAACAGTAATAATCTCAGTGGCTCGAGGGTGGAGATGGATAGGAGTGACGCCCCAAGGAGCATAGTCAAAACGTACCAATGCTATTCCAAGCGTGTTCAATCCAGGTAGTTGAGCCACTGTCACGGGAGTGACGCTGAAGCCAAGGGGGTTGGATGTGTTGCCTGCTAAATGAAAGCCACTGTAGGTGAAGTGTTCAGCTTGTACTAGCTTCGAGTCCATGCATGCGAGGCCATTCACTCGTGCTGAACAAAAAAATTAACAAAAACCAATAATTAAATTCACAGATGGCAGAATCCCTCATTGCTTGGAGAAGGAAAGGTTGTGGACTACATACGAAGTGTACGAGCAAGGACGTTTGGTCCCAAAGAGGGTGGAAATGGAATTCCACAGTGTATGGGAGGAAAGGTAGTTTTGTGCAAACCACTATTAAGGACTTCTTCACGGGTACGAAGGCAGTGAATTGAGTTGAAAGAGAAAATCGCCAAAAACTGGCAGAATGCTTTTGAAACCATTTCATTTGATTGAGACGAAGGAGATTGCAATTTCTTGCCTAAAGGAGTAAAAATTCGTTTTCAGGCCATCTTGATCTTTTTCATAGTCGAGAAGAGGAAGAAGTCTAAGTCAATGAGCATTATTGAACCATTGATGGACGCTAATAGAAGTTGCTTACTTTTCTAGTAATGAATAAAGGGTAGGGCATTTTTTTGTCGTAATAGTTGGCGGGTCTCATGAGATTTAAGTAAAAGGGGACCATGTCGATCATAGAGTCTTGAACATCACAATCAAGCAAGTTTTACTAGTCCTTACACGCGCACACAAACTATTTCAGCCCTTACCAGAACTAGTGTAGTCCGCAACACAAAAATCTTGTAATGGACTTGGCTCAAAGGCCATTGCCAAAGTGCAAGTCATGGCTAGCAAACTAAGCATTATGATCTGGTTTTCCATTTCGATCTTCCAAGATTTCTTCAATCTATTGAAATCTGTGTACAAGTGAATTTGTATACGAACTTTACGTCTCTCATACTCTATATATACAATTTTTTTCCCTAAAGCTGCCGTCTAAATAGTAATAGTCGGGGGCATCTTTTAAAGCCGTATATATGAAAAATTAAACATTCAGTTTCGGCCATCTTTGGGCAGTTTGTGAATGTGACTGTGATTAACTAGGATCTAAAAGAAGCCAAATGGACTTACAATGAAAAAGCTGAGCAAAAGTCAAGAGCCTTCAATAATTTTCCATTTTTAACAGTTTAAATAAGTTCCCTAATTTTTTTTATTTTTTTTTTAACCATGAATTGGAGATTAAATTGTAATTTCATAGTTATTGTCGAGGCAGTGTTGCAATATTTTTGTTTAATGAATTATATATCCCAACGTTAATTAACTATAATGTTTAACAAAACTCAGTGAAACAATTTGATAATAATAAATCAAAATATTTTTGAAATGTAGAATGAAAAAATTATCAACAAAAAATCGAGCTGATTACTTCGACAATTGTTATTTATTTATTTTTTCCAGCAAAACGAAGCATTCTAATTAATGAAATCTCCATGAAACGCAGACGAAAGAACACAATCAACTCAACTATAAAAATATTACTTTATGGGTCATCCTATTCCCACTGTTCCTACTCATTTCTATCGGTCTATAATTTTAACAATTTATAAGTAAAACCAAACATTTGACTTGGGCAAGCGATGACTTTTAGCAATTTGACATGTGCCACATAAAGTTGGAGAAGACAACAAAGATGTAAGATAAAGCTGGAATTTTTTATTCAATAGAGAAATAACAGAACGATTGACATGTTCAAGTCGTGCATGCCATAAATCATAGGACGCACGAAGCGATTTATTTTTAAGAACAGAAATAAAAGTAGAATGACTTCGCTTGTTCGCAAAATTATTTCTTTTCGATTTTAAAACCCACCGCAAGTGTACGGTTCGTTAACAAGTAGTAAAATGGACTATGAGTCCAAGTATCGTTCCCACGAGAATTGAATTAGCTCTAATTAGACTAATGTGACCTTAACTGAATCTAATTGAATGAAAATTTGGTTTAAATGTGAAAAAACCCTAATTTTGGGGGAAAAATCCCCAATTTAAAACCCTAATTGCAAAGTAAACCCTAATTTCAAAATTGAAAACCCTAATTTCGAAATTTTTACTAATCTAATGAAATAAACACGCAACTGAAATATAAATATGCAATTTTAGAACTATTGTATTGAAATGAATCGAAATGAAATCATTAAGAATTCGAATCCCCAATTGACTATTAAAAACCCTAATTTCACAAATTCAACGAATCGATTGAACAAAATGTCAATTCAATGTTCCTAAATTATCCAATACACTCTCTCGATATATATTGAATCTACTCTGACACACCACCAGCCTATATCTCTATGGATGATGCAATGTACAAGAATGCATGACTTTTTATGAACATTTTCATGAATTGCATAAAGCATAGAGGTAAGTTTACATCCCCTATCGGACCCTATGTCGATTTATATTCTATCGAATTTATTCTCCTTCTTTCGAATGTAAAGAACAAATCATTTACAATCACATAACAATTGGCCAAATAATTATGGAAGCATTCAAATCATATAAATCAAACATTTGTCCAATCGAAACTATTGTTGAATTAATGAAATAACGGAAATTTAAATCATCAAAAGGTTCATCAAATTCCTAATGAACAAAAACCCTAGCCTATAATCATCATTACAAAATCAAGAAATTGAAAAACGAAATTAAAAGATAATAAGAATACACCCGTATGGAATTTCTTCAATCCGTGTGTATAATCTTCAATTTCGTCTCGAGCCCGTGTGAAATTGAATCCAAAATCAAGTTTCTTGCCTCCAATTTTGGTCTCTCCCTTCTCCCTGGTCGTTCCTCCCTTAATATGATGATTTTGGGTATTTATATCGCGTCCAAATTAAGTAGGGAAGGAGTTTCAACCAAAACGAAAAACTACACCCGAAATTTCAAAATTAACTATGCGACCGCATAGAAGGGATCTATGCGGTCGTATAGATCATTTTTTTTCTCTCATTTAATTTCCTGAAACCTTCTATGCGACCGCATAGAAGGTTACACTATGCGGTCGCATAGAAGTAGCCATCTATGTGGTTTGTGCAATTTGGTCCCTGAACTTCTTTGTTGCTTCTCTTGACTTCTTTCTTCGATTTCTTTATCTTTTCAACAATTCTTATCTTCCAATTGATGATCGACACTTTCAAATATTATGCCAATCATTCGGCACATCTTTTGAGTATTTGCACTTTAGTCCTCCAACTTTCAATTATCTTCATTTTAGTCCATCTTCCATTCTTTCTTCTTCCACTTGTTTTGCTTTGTCATTGAGCTCATACTTGGCATGTTTTTACTCTCGTTTTGCGTTTAGCTCAACTTCTCAATATTTGCACATTTGGTTCTCGAACTATCAAATTGTTGCGTTTTGGTCCTTCTTCGGCTCTTTTCTCCTGAATTCCACAATTTTCATTGAATTACTTACAATGCATGAATTTAACTGGATTAAATCACAACTCAACTGACTTCGCTCAAGCACATATAAGCCTCCATCAGGTTTGCCGGTTGCCACCACCCTTCCTATTTTGCGATTCCGTACAGTGAATATGTTATTAGTAAAGGTAACAGATAAAGGAAAATCTGATGTTAATTTACTGATGGAAAGTAAATTCTTGGTAAGGCGAGGTACAACTAGGACATCAAGAAGATGTAGATTTGGGGTAGGAAAAATTTTACCAATATGGGTAATGGGTAGTGAGGCACCATTCCCAACAACCACACAATCCTTACCCATGTAATTTGTGGCCTGATCCAATTTAGAGTGATCCATGGTCATACGGGCTGAAGCCCCTGTATCCAAATACCAGTCAGAGATCATATCTTCATTTAGAGAATAAGATCTCGTGAAGGCTTCAGCAAGGTGAGCTGGTGTCTCATTCCGATCATAGCGTTGAAGGCACCGATCGGCAAAGTGGCCATCCATCTTGCAAATTTGGCATGTTGGTGGACGACGCCATTGGCTGTAGTTGGAGCGTCCTTGTCCACGACCAGATGAACTGCTGCCACGCTTGCCGAAGCGACCCCGATGACTACGAGAAAAGCCACCACGATGGGTGGAATTTTTTGTGACAGTAAAGGCTGTCACTGCTGGGGAAGATGAGTCAAGGGATTTCTGAAAAATTTCAAAACTTTCGGCCTTTGAGACTAAATCTGCAAATGAGGGCAAAGAAGTTTGGGCCATTTGTGCTGTGGAGAAACTAGAGAAATCAGTACCGAATCCGTGGAGAAACCAGTGCACCTTGTTAGTACCATCAACTGGACAACCAATTGCATGTAGTTGATCACAAATTGCTTTGAAGGAACGGGTATACTCAACAACCGATCTATTGCCGCGTTTCATTAATTGCAAGTCATCCTTAAGGCGTAGTTCTCGAGCTTTAGAATGATGGCTAAATGCATTTTCTAGTGCCAGCCACACGTCTCGTGCGGTGGAGAGGCCAACTACATCAACCATGGCTTCCTCTGTGAGGGAGGAAAGTAACAAACTGAGGAGACGCTGATCAATAGCTTTTCATGCTAGGTATTTGTCACTTGGTGTAAGAGAAGTGGTAGCGTCAAGTTTTGGGGGCTGCACAAGAGTGCCATCAACATGTCCTAATAATTCTTGACTTTCAAGAAGAGGGAGGAGTTGGGTTTTCCAGAGAAGATAATTTGAGGAGGAAAGTTTAATGGTGATCATGTGGATTAAGGTATTGAAAGGAAGAAGGGTGGCAGAAGTTTCAGAAGCCATGAAGGGAAGAAGAAGAACATGATATGTGGTATGTATGTTAAACCACTTGGCTCTGATACCATAAGAATGATTAAAATCCACTTTAATTTCAGTGGTGTATCGTATTGCATTATATAGAACTTTACAAGATAGTATAAATGGAATACAAATCAATAATTTACAATGAAATGGAAACCGTGTAAATTAGCCTCCTTCAATTACGTGATTGGCATTGGCATGCTATGGGAAGATTGTGATTGAGGAGTACAATATTATTTCCAACAGAGGTAACATTTTTTTCTACAATACTCCTAAATCGTGGGTAGCCTGATGATGTGGGTGCCTCGTCCCTGCAATTTTTTCTTATTTCTCTTTGTTTATTTTTTACAAACAGAAACTTGTGTACAGATCTAAAGAAAAAATGGAATCGAACCGAGTCGGCAAAGAAAATCAGACAATTAAAGAAATGAACAAGCACTACTGTTCGTCACAAAAATAGCGGTTGCAGCTAATTTTTTTTTTTTAGTTGCTGCAGTTGGCTGTCGGGCATCGCAAGTTTAACTGAAAAAATAGATAGAATTTGATGGAAGAACTATTGCGCAGTAAAAGGTTGAAATAAGGACAATTGTCAAAAGAAAACGAGCAAAGAAAATCAGACAATTAAAGAAATGAACAAGCACTACTGTTCGTCACAAAAATAGCGGTTGCAGCTAATTTTTTTTTTTTTAGTTGCTGCAGTTGGCTGTCGGGCATCGCAAGTTTAACTGAAAAAATAGATAGAATTTGATGGAAGAACTATTGCGCAGTAAAAGGTTGAAATAAGGACAATTGTCAAAAGAAAACGGTAGGTCCTGATTTCGAAGCGAATTCATAGGATGGAGACCATTTGCATCAATTAGCCTATGCATATTGATTTTATTCCACGCAACCCGGAAAACTGAAAGTCTTAGCATGTTACAGAAATTCATTGACTTCCAATTGATGGAAAGATTGGGATGCTTTGTTCATTTCTAAAGAAATTTTCAGGATCAACCCTTGTCTTAATTTGCACCAGTCTGTTGAAATTATCCTTAAAATATTTAATCCCGTAAGCAGCTCCTTCAATGTAACTGTTTAGACCATGGTGGTTGATTCCCAAGTCAAAATCTCTATAATTAAGATATGCTCCCCTTGATTTGGAGAAAAAAGGAGTCATAAAATTATAAAGATTTCTTGTCAAATTTATGTAATGATTCGCAGCCTCGATTCCGTTCTCGTCCCAGTTCGTACCATATTCGACCTTGACTATGTTACCGGCTCGATGTGGAAAAGGTTTTGCCGATGGTGGAATTTCAGACATGAATCCTCCGTAAGGAAATAACTTTAACATTGGAGTTTCCAATTCTATCATTTTCTTAAATATTGACTCCAACCCTTGTTTTGGAATAGGCTTCTTTAGATAATCAGATTTCCTCTTCAGGTGTTGAAGATTTGGATGATTCCTATTAAGCAGAACTTCAACTGATGTGCCAACTGGGAAATTGTTCCAACGAACAATGGATTCAATCCAACTATGCTCAGTGCAGTCAGATTTTCTTAATCCCATTTCAGGAAATCTCTCGTTTATCAGGGAAAATAGTCCGGTCGGGTCTCCAAGAAAATAGCCGAGGAATGTAGCTTGTATTGTCTTCTTTTCGACAAGATGAGTATCATTGACAACATTAATGGCTGTTTTGATGAAAACCTCCCTGTCCAACTTGTCCACAATTTTTAGCAAACTATGAACAATATCGGTTAAATTTTGTGCGTAAGTCCTCTCTACTGTGAAAATAGAGACCTGCAGAATACAAAATTTAAATAAACAAATAATATTTTCCCTCTCTTTTTTAAATTTGTAAAAGAGATGAGATGGTTCAACATTACCGTGGGTGGGACGTGAACCAACTTGATTTTGAATGCAAGGACAACTCCAAAGCTGGAAGCGCCTCCTCCGGTAATAGCCCAGAACAAATCCTCCCCCATGGATGCTCGGTCCAGAATCTGGCCATTAACATCCACTAATCGTGCGTCAACTATGTGATCGATCGAGAGGCCATATTTCCTCGCCATGACTCCATATCCACCTCCGCTGAAATGGCCTCCAACGCCTACGGTGGGGCAAGTTCCAGTCGGGAACCCGTGAATATTACTTTTTTCAGCAATTCTGTAATAAACTTCTCCAACAGTTGCACCAACTTCTACCCATGCAGTTTCATCTTCCGTACTAACATTAATTGACCGAAGATTGAACATATCGAGAATGAAAAACGGAACGTCTGATACATAAGAGGAGCCCTCAAAATCATGGCCTCCACTTCTGATTCTCATTTGCAGGCCATGATATTTAGCACAAACGATGGCTGTTTGAATGTGGGATTCATGCAAAGCAGTGAGTATGAGTTGAGGTTTTGGGGTATTGGATTCATTGAACCTTAGATTTCTTATGTAAGACTGCAAAACTGATGAATATGTAGAATTGCTTGGAAAATATATTGCCGAGGAGATTGGATAAGAAGGATTGGACAGCCGGAGAAGACATCCGGTAAAGGTGCGTCCGTCGGTAGTTACCGAATCCCTGGCAACTGAAAGTGCAAGGATCGATAAGAATGGAAATATCGCAAAGCCTAGAAATCTCATTCTGTATAATTTTTGATAGCTTGTTCGTCACTAGGGCTGGAATTTATACAGGAAGGCATATGCATAGATTAGGCGGAGAAAAATGCTAAACGGCCCGCACCGGTGACCCCATTGATGACTGCACACTCACAATCAAGGCGTGGATCACGTGTGAGTAAAAAAATATTTTTCCCCTCCTATGTGTCTACTATGTCAATCGCGCAGTCACTCGCACGATTCATCTAGCATGGTTCTTAGGTGGAACCCACTGACATGTTACATAATGTAAATTTGACACCACAAAATTATGAGAAAGATTATGGAAGATTTTGTTTTCACAAATTGACACTTTTTAATTCCGCCATCACTATTAACTCAAATTATTGAGGATTTTTTAAGATTATCGCTCTGTACATTCTTTTTGATTCATTAAGTTACGAATTATCAAACTTGACAAAGTGACAAAATAGTTTTCACGTTAGATTTCTTTAAGCGATCGTTCAGCATACCCCCACATGACTATGAGTTCTATTGAAGGAGAGAAACTAAACAAGTAATATGTCAATGGAGTGGAAAATGGCATCCGATTTTGTTGACTTTCCACAATTTTCACCAATAAATGCTGAATGCCCCTCTTCTTTTAAAATTTGTAGCATATTAAGCTGGTTTAGTGATGGTAAATAAGCTCATCGGCTCGAGCGGCTTGTGGTTCGACTCAAAAAAATCCGAGCTTGTTTGTACAAGCCAAAGCTTGGGCCAAACTGCAAAAATAAAATTGACTTGAGCCTGGCCAACCTGCAAGCTGAAATAGAGTGGCTCGTGAGGCTTTGCCTACTTTTGCAGGCAAAGATATAGCAATTAATTAGCTTGCTTTTGCAAGCCAGTTTCGTGTGGACATTTTTACACGGACTCCCATCAATCAAACATCTATAAAAGAGGTATTAAATGGTAATAATAATTGAATTAATCTATGATATGGCAAAAAAGTGTTGGTTCAAAAGATGAAATGTTCTTTAAATTGTCCAATAACAACATATCACGTGTTATGTTGTCAACAATATTGTCAAAATCATTATACATCAAGCATTGTTCATAATATTTTTTGTATAAATGTTCAATTTAGAAATAATTTTTTTTGTACAACTAATTTTGTAAATTAACAATCAATTTTTCGTATTGCCTACTCCGCTCGGCTTGGCCCAACTTGAGACAAAGCTCAGGCCTAGCCCCATTTTTTCGGGGAACAAGCCCTGCTCAAGCTCGACTCAAGTCAAAAAAGCTCGAGCTCGAACTCTACTCGGCCATCACTAAGTTCATTTGTCCAACATTTGATAAATTATTTAAATCGTTCTTGTTAGTCAAATACAATATTTCCTTGACAGAGGGTGTTCTAATCTGCGAGTAGGTTGATATAGTTCATTTATTTTTTCAAAATCAATTTCATGTGAATGAGGAATTAAGGTTAAACTTGATAAAACAAAAAAATGGAAATAAATTAAGTTTGATATTTGGGTTTGGACTTCAAAGAGTCCTAATGATCTTTAAAGGGAAATATAATTTAGTTATTTAAATATAAATTTGCACTACATGGAGATTCACAAGAAATAAAAAAGAAAAGTTGTTTTCAAGTAACTGAGATCTCAATTATCAATCAATCCAGAATAATTGCAGAATCCACACTTGATGATCAAGCAAGATCTCAATTATAAGTTCCAAAAACAACTCATGGTTCTCGCTGTATTTAAAAAATTCCTCCACAATGACCAATTAAAACAATATTTACACGAAAAATTGACCGAGCCGGCCATAGGCTTAAATACGAACGACTGAATGCAAGTTTCACTCCCATATATTTTTCCTTACTGAAAATTATGACGTTACTGTGCCATTGGATTACACTTCTATGCCATGGCTTGATGGGCATCAGATGGTGATTTCAGCTTCGGGCCCACTGCCATATATGTATTACAACATCAAAATTATACGAATAGCCGCAAGAATACACTATCGTGTTTATCATTTCTTGTTACTGATCAAGATCCATGTATTCACCGGTCACCCTGTTGAGATATATTATAAATCAGCATCAAATCATCAATCAAGTAAGGAAAAGAAAATCCTAAATATGCAATTTCAGATTCAAATCAATCACAAGTCGTAGAAAAACGATCAAGATAATTTACCTAAGACAATAATGAGAACGTAATGTTACACTCAATCTGTTCATATATTTATGTAATCGGTTCTCAACATTTTAGTTATACCCTCAAGACAGTTCATTTGGGATGTCTTCGGGAAAATGACAGAAAATACGGTTAAGTAACTTTAAAGCAGAGCCAAACGGGATAGCACAATACAAACGAAACCAGAAAAGGTACTTGTACATCAAGAACTAAAAGTCGACCATCCAAGGACTTTCAATAACCCTCGTACCTGTTATAGGACAAGTAACCATCGCCAATAGTTCCTATGACTTTATTCCGTACCTTCCGTACACAAACCTTAAGAATTTAAGATAAGAAGTTAAAAATATGGTATCCTCGGTAAACTAATATGATGAAAATATTCGGCAACAAATATCCTCAAGCTAATTAACAAGACGGTTAATATTCTGGTGTAAAAGCACACCTGAACTATATCTATAGGGCCAGCCTCTGGATCCCTGTTACGATGAATAACAATTCCATTATCGCATTTGTTTATGAAGTGTGCACTCCCACTGATGTCATACAAATTCGGGGGACTTCCAACCCAGTTATGCAACTGTTAAAAGACGTTTAAAGGTTTTTTAGACAAAATCCTTGGAGTAAATGCATAGTTCTACAGTTGCTAACCTGTCTTGGATGCGCTACAAACCAAACATGACATGAATGATGTTGAGCAAATCGTTTGATCTTCGTCAGCATCTGACTTACATACTCTGTTTCAGTCCTGTTGTGTACAATATTATCATTTAAAAACACATTGTATTCAAACAATCCAAAAGAACACAAAATAATAAATTTGACAAGAATGTTCTTTTATCATTTTGTCCAATACACAGTTCTTTTATCATTTTTTCCAATACAGTCTTCAACTTCAAAAGCCAAATAAAGCCAGATACTGAACAACAACAACACTGAATTATAAACTTCAAGAATTTTGACACTTTTTATATAGCACAAGTATTGTTATTTTCTGAGCCTATAAAATCAGATCTTTGAAATTAACATCAACTCCCTTCTTGACAAACCATTTGATGATCTGATCTAATATCATCAACTCCTTGACACAAAAAGATAATGATGAGAAAAACGAAACACCTTCACATCGACTAGAATCATGATTTCTCACTCTTCATGCCATTCTTAAGGATATTCAATGGCATTAGAGAAACTATGAAGTTTGGTTAAACATATGGTGTAAACGAGACCTAGGAATAATTGTATAGTGATTTCAACATTTTCCAAAAATGAAAATCAATCACATAACATGTAATTAGCTACATCAATGAATTTAAATGAAAAAAGGGAAAATAGCCAACTCACTGGCTAGGAGGACGCTGATGGTCAAGCTCATTATATGGATCAATAACAAGTCCATTTACTCCATGCCTTAGAACTGCGAATCTTGCAAGCTCAAGAACCCAATTTATACTTGGGAGGCAATCATTCTCGCACCTGTTACGTAACCCATTATATTTAGTGGAAAAAGAAAAGAAATACATAGCATATTAGAGGTATCAAATAATATTCAAGAAACAATATAAGCTATGCAAAATTAGCAGTGTGATTACAATCCTCAGCATCTTGAGCATTGTAGGGTTTAATCTTGAGCCTACTTGATATGGATAAGGTATTTTTATGCATGAAAGCATTAAGCATAGTTATCCATATGCACACACAAATAGAGTGACAAATAGTGCGACACACTAGTCAGATAGGGAACAATTTCATAACCATTCCAATCCGAACAATCTTTCAAATAAAATCATTAACGCTGAATTTACAACACAATAATGTTTAACTCTCGCATAATATGAAGAATTCCACTTCAATGGAACTCCATTCCAACTCCATTCTGGGCAAAAACAATTATGGCACAAAACATTTGATTAACATCCTGTTTAACATCCATTTTTAATGAGTTTTTTTGGGGAAAATGGTAGGAAAAAGTTGTGGCTGAAGAAAATGAGTTTGAGAAAAAAGAGCGTTGATTTAATGGATGTCAAACAGGGGCTAAATTAAATCCATTCGGTACAGCAGCTCTCAGCTCAATTATTATCACTGGTTTATATGCCCTAGCATAGAGATAGAACTAAACAGCGGCACAGTGATTTATTCACATTTACATACAGTGTAAGACAGTCAAACCCCGCAAATGTCCAGAAAACGAAGGAAAAATTGATTAGATTTTTGCCTAGACAATGCATGCAGTTTCTCGAAGCAGCTTCAACTCATTCCAGTGAAGAACAATATCAACATCAAATAAGGGAACAAAGAACGCTAGTAAGTGATGCGGACATTATCCTCATTGGGCCAGTTGGACCATTTTATCTTCTGTTTATTTATTTTAGGCTTTATGTCTCATTGGGCTTGTATATGGGTTTGGCCCAAGCCCAAGTTTATTATTTTGGTATTTATGTTATTGTAACTTGGATTGAAAGTTAGTTTTTGGGATGAATGAAAATATTTTGTGATTACGTTTCTCTCTTCTCCCCCCAGTTTCCCGTCTCTTCTCCTTTGTTCTCTTCTTCTTCTTCTTCCTCTTTCCCCCTCTGTGATCCCTCTTCTTCTCTTTCTTGCTACTTCTTAACTTATTCTACATCTTTAACTGAAATATAGAGTCTCCAAAGAAAATAAAAGAAATACTGTCATGGATGTGAAGAAAAGCCATAAGCATAACCATAACACATCTGCTGCTGCAAAATGCCCTTCCTATCATCGTCCCAAACTAACCCCTACATACTAATCTGAATTCCAATCCAAACCTCTCCAATTCAGTCCACGACACACCACCAAAGGCGTTTCCAGTAACCAGACTTCCTCAAAGCCTGACTCGGCTGCACCCCTATGTCTGCATCCCAGCACAATATTGCCCAAATTCCTAGCAACCCACCACCACCTGTAACTTCCCAACTAAGTACTCCCAATAACTACTCACAAAATAACCATCCACAATCACTACACCCCTAATAACCCACGACACAGTCACTACCCCAAAAGAGTCCCCACCCTCCTATAATCCACTACACGCTGTCAATACAAATGCCAACCTCCTGTGCGCCAGATTACAATTGTTTTGTTGAAATTCAGTCACAACCCCAGCTCAAGCTACAAAATTCAAACAATAATCGCAAACCACTAATCTCCATTTCCGAAAACTCCACCATCGTGAACATCACCCATTACAATCTGCAATCAATTCCACACAATCGAAGGCTCAGTAGAACATATACCTTACCAGCAACCCAAAATAAAACCGTGGTCACATATATCGTCGGCAAACTCCGCAGCCCTCTCAATAACTTAGGCCACAACGACGCCAGCTGGACTGTAACATCATCCTCTAGACTCCAGAGCCAAAGACACGTCGAGTCTTCAAGTTTCTCTCTGGTTCTTTTGGGCCGAACTGCAAGTACTCGTTATACTTCTTATATGGGCCTTAGTTTAGGTCCCGTTTGTAGTTTAGGTCCCGTTTGTATTTTGTTTTATTTTGTTGTTCAAGAATTTTGAATTTAATTTTGTTTTGGGCCCCTGTTTGTATGCCCATTTTGGTCCATTTGTTTACTCAAAAGTTTATTAGTTGAGAAAAAAAAAAAAAAAAAAGGAACGGAAGAGAAACATCTTTTCTATTATTTGCAAGTACCTCTTTCATTCAGTTGATTGGACGCAGCTTCTTCAAGCGAACGAAAGGAAAGTCATTGTTTTAACTCATCCTCAGTTATATTGCTGTTTATCTTGAATTGCATCGATTAATTTTGTGCTACAGTCTTTACATAAAATTCACGTGATTAAACTCTTAGACCCGCTAACTCTCTGCCTTGCTATATTTTCATTTTCCCATATTTATTTTAACCGCTTCTGTCATATTTATTTTACATGTTTAAGTTGTTGACTAGTGTTTGACCCTCGCTTCATTATTTTACATAGATCAATAGTACCCGCTCGACATATTTGAATTTTCATAATCCCCAAAATTTTATTTAAAAAAAAAAATAATGAGTTAAAACTTAAATGCTCAAGTTGTTATTTTCATTTCTTGAACTAGTTGTTTGTTGATCTCGTCATTCACTGCATCTAGCTAGTCTTACATTGCATGCATTTGCGTAGTGGTCGTTTTGTCATACCCAATTCCAATACTGTGACCATGGAACCTTCTCAATTTGATGCTCTTACGCGACAATTAGCTCAACTAAAAGCACAATTAGCAACCGTCCAAATCGAGGTGACTGCTACTCATGAGAAGAGTAGAGAACTAACTGCTAGAGTGAACAATTTAGAACAAGCATCTCCCTCAACCGACGCTGACAACTCTGAAGCGTCTCATTACATACCTTATCCTCGTCGACATGGTGGTCGACAGCGTATTCATCATGGACGAAGGAATGAAGAACATGAGCGTAATCATGAACGAGACCATGGCCATTATAGTACTCATTCACCTCCTCGCTATGAGGAGCGTTACTTTCGAAACATCAAATTAGACGCTTCTACTTTCGATGGCTGTTTAGATCCCAGAGTTTTTACACAATGGATTAGAGACGTGGATCATTTCTTTTCATGGTATGGAGTTCCAGAGGACCGAAGAGTTCAATTTGCCAGTTTGAAATTAACTGGTACTGCCCAACTCTTTTGGGAAAGCATTGAGGACCTTCTTCAGAGGCATCGTGCACCTCCCGTTGGAAGTTAGGAGGAAATGAAGCGCCGCCTTCAAAAGAAGTATTTACCCCTCTCTTATAGGAACAATTTGTTGGACCAGTGGAATACCCTCACACAAGGAAATCGTCCAGTGACTGACTATGTTACCCAATTTGATGAGCTTCGAATGCGATGCCACGTCGTTGACGATGAAGCTATGACTTTAAGTAGGTTCAGACAGGGCCTAAGAGACGATCTTCGGCGTGAGCTTGTCCTGCGAGATGTTACTACTCTCGATCACGTTTATTCCTTGGTTCGAGATTACGAGTCGATTACTGAGACTCCGTATGGAAGGCGTAGTGATAACCGTCCATCCATCTCATCGACACCACCTCCTCCCGCCAAGTCTCTTCTACAACCTCCACTGTCTAACGCACTCCCTGCTTTAGACAATAAAGGTAAAACTCCTGAAACTTCAGTAACTTCTTCTCGTTTGCAATGCTTCAATTGTAAGGGCTTCGGCCATATCTCCTCTAGATGTCCGAGTCGAGCCTTAGTTATTGACGAGCGGAAGGATGATGTTGATGAGACTTTAAAAGATCAAGTCTATGAGCCTAACTTTGAAGAGTTCGAAGATTTGGGTGATAATGAGGATACCATCTTAGGTTGCCTTCGTGCCCTTCCTATAGGTCTAGGTCCTACTTCCCTGGTCCCCGACACCTCTCGATTGAGTGTTGTACGTTGTACCCTTACCCAACCTAAGGATGTCAATGATTGGCGTCGTCATGCCATTTTTCATACTTACATCAAGATCAACTTTGTAAGATTATTGTTGACAGTGGGAGTTGTATTAATGCGGTCTCTGTGACCACAGTGTCCCGTCTTGGGTTGAAATCAGTCCCGCACCCCCAACCGTACAGCGTCTCTTGGGTTGACACTTCTTCTATAGCTGTGAAAGAGCGTTATCTGGTGCCTATCCAGTTCCTTGAGTATAAGGATCATATATGGTGTGACATCATCCCTATGGATGTCGGACGTCATTCTTGGTCGAACTTGGTTGTTCGATCTGGATGTAACTATCCATGGACGATCAAATTCATGTTCCTTTGTATTTAATGAGAAGAAGATTCATCTTAATCCTTTACCACCAAAATTTATTGACCTACATCAAGCCCAAAAAATTGGCGAGAGGAAAGGATTACATGTGATTAGCCCTACAGAATTTGAACGGGACAATCGTAAGTGACTCAATTGTATTTGCTGTGATTGTTATGGACGTCCCGTCCGATTCCCCACTAGCAACCCCGATTGAAGCCCAATCCCTCCTTCAAGAATTTAAGGATGTATTTCCTGACGACCTCCCTGATTTATTGCCTCCCTTACGGGATATCCAACATGCTATAGATCTGGTACCAGGTTCGTCTCTCCCAAATTTGCCTCACTATAGAATGAATCCAACTGAACATGCCGAGCTCCAGAGACAAGTGGGTGAACTCCTTCACAAAGGCTTCATCCGTGAAAGCTTAAGCCCTTGTGCAGTTCCTGCCCTTCTCACACCTAAGGAGGATGGTTCTTAGAGGATGTGCGTTGATAGTCGCGCTATCAATAAGATTACTGTCAAGTATCGTTTTCCCATCCCTCGACTTGATGATATGCTAGATATGATGGTCGGTGCCACAATCTTTTCCAAAATCGATTTGAAGAGTGGGTATCATCAGATTCGGATCCGCCCTAGGAGACGAGTGGAAAATTGCATTTAAAACTAAAGATGGTCTATACGAGTGGTTGGTAATGCCTTTTGGACTAACCAATGCTCCAAGTACTTTTATGAGGGTGATGATACAGGCCCTTCGACCTTTCATAGGCAACTTCATTGTCGTATACTTTGATGACATTCTCGTGTACAACAAAACAAAGGAACAACATCGAGATCATCTCATGCAAGTTTGCTCTACATTACGTGAGACGAGCTTGTATGCCAATGTGAATAAATGTTCTTTCTTCATGGATACAATTGTGTTTCTCGGATTTGTTGTTTCCGCTATGGGAGTATCTGCTGGTCCTACGAAGATTCGGGCAATTGTTGAGTGACCTAACCCCAAGAATATACACGATGTTTGGAGTTTCCATGGATTAGCTACCTTTTATCGTCATTTCATCAAGGAGTTTAGTACGATCATGGCTCCTATCACAGAGTGTGAAGAGAGGAGAATTTCATTGGACACAGGAAGCGGCCAAGGCCTTTTAGTTAATCAAAAGGTGAATGACAGAGGCTCCTGTCATGCGACTCCCAGATTTTTTCCAAAGTTTTTGAGGTCGAATGTGATATGTCAGGGGTAGGAATAGGTGGAGTCTTGAGTCAAGAACATCATCCTATTGCTTATTTTAGTGAGAAATTAAATAATGCCAAGCAACGGTACTCAAATTATGACAAGGAATTGTACTAAGTCGTACAAGCCTTGCACTATTGGCGTCATTACTTATTACCCCACGAATGTCCTCTTTTCAGACCATGAGGCCCTTCGTTTCCTTAATTCCCAGAGACGATTGAATTCTAGGCATGGCCGTTGGATCGAATATTTGCAAGCCTATTCTTTTGTCTTAAAGCATAAAAAGGGTGTTGAAAAACGAGCTGTTGATGCTTTAAGCCGCCGCATCTCCTTGTTGTCCATCATGAGTGTTAAGGTCATAGGGTTTGAAAGGTTTAAGGAAGAGTACGAGTCATGTCCCGATTTTAGAGGCATTTTTCTGACTTTGCAAAATGGGGAGTTGGACACCACTGATGGATTTCGTTTGGACTCTTTATCGATCCAATAAGTTGTGCATCTCGAGGACTTCAGTGCGAGACTTTATAGTGTGGGAAAGTCATGCTGGCGGGTTGGCTGGACACTTTGGGTGTGATAAGACCATAGAGGAGATTGAACGCCAATTCTATTGGCCCAGTTTAAAGACAGACGTGGCCAATATTGTTGGCACATGCAACAACTATCAGCGTTCTAAGCAAAAGAGGCAGAACACAGGCCTCTACACGCCTCTCCTGTCCCTAGTTGTCCTTGACAAGACGTTAGTATGGATTTTGTGCTAGGGTTGCCATGTACTCCCAAAAAACACGACTCCATTTTCGTTGTCGTAGATCGCTTCTCGAAAATGGCACAATTTATTCCATGTAACAAGACTTCCGATGCATCTAAGGTTGCTAAGTTATACTTTCATGAGATCATCAAGCTGTATGGCCTCCCTAAGACCATTGTCTCGAATAGAGATGTTCGCTTCACTAGCCATTTTTGGCGAACCTTATGGAGTATGGTTGGCATTAAACTGAAATTCTCTACAACATACCACCCACAAACGGACGGTCAAGCCGAAGTTGTCAACCGCAATCTTGGTAATCTATTAAGGTGTCTGGTCCAGGAAAATCTTAGGAATTGGGACTTAATTCTTCATACTGCCCAACTTGCATATAACAGTTCAGTGAATCGGTCGATAGGTACGAGTCCTTTTGAGGTAGTTCATGGTTTTAAGCCTAGGAAGCCGTTAGACCTTCTTCCCATGTCTCCACATGCTAGTGTGTCCGTGTCAGCTGAGTCTTTTGCACAACATTTGCGTGACTTGCATATTGAGATCAATAAACAGTTGGAAGCAAGTAATGCATTATATAAACTTCGAGCTGATTTGCACAAACGCCACGTTGAATTTAATGTTGGGATTATGTTATGATTCGAATTAGATCGGAACGGCGTCCATCTGGGCCTGCTTTCAAATTACAAGCTCGTAGTGCCGGTCCTTTTAAAATTTTAAAGCGTGTTGATCCAAATGCATATGTCATTGACTTACCGTCACACTTTGACTACCACCATATTTTTAATGTTGAAGACTTAGTTGTTTACAAAGACCAATTTCACCCCGCTGATGATCCTTTCACACCTCCATCTCTGGACCCTCAGCCTGAACATGTTATCCCTGCCCCAATTCCACCTGGTGCAACACATAAAGATAAAATTGATGATATTCTAGATGCACAGACCATTTTAACCAAGGATGGAGACATTCAACGCTTCCTTGTTTATTGGGAGGGCCGTCCTGATTCTGATTGTACTTGGATCTCGAAAGAGCACTTCAACAGCTTGATCCTAATTTGTTGGAGCATTATAGAAGTCAACAAGATCTACCCTTACCCGGACCACCACCCTTGCGTGTCTATAGACGTCGAAAGAAGTTTGCTCAACCGCTCAATTTGTGGCTAGGAGATTGACAACAGCCTTTTGTGATCTACCTACTCAACGGGATCGAGTTTTTCTCCCACCCTGAAGAGTTGATGCGAACATCATCCTCATTGGGTCAGTTGTTGGACCATTTTATCTTTTGTTTATTTATTTTAGGCTTTATGTTTCATTGGGCTTGTATATGGATTTGGCCCAAGCCCAAGTTTATTATTTTGATATTTATATTATTGTAATTTGGATTGAAAGTTAGTTTTTGGAATGAATGAAAGTATTTTGTGATTAAGTTTCTCTCCTCTCCCCCCAGTTTCCCGTCTCTTCTCCTTTGTTCTCTTCTTCTTCTTCCTCTTTCCCCCTCTGTGATCCCTCTTCTTCTCTTTCTTGCTACTTCTTAACTTATTCTACATCAGTAACTATTTGGAATTACCTTATTAGGGAAAATGTATCACTGAGCCATCTCTTCCCTTGCTCCAACTCCTCAACATTCATCCGCTCAACAGATTCTCCATACCTATTTGCAGCAATGAATCAGACAGGAGAACAAATAAATGATTAAGAGACCAGTCTGCAAAGCTCAAACAATATATCATATTAAACCTTCTGTCCATATTCAGTAACGATATCCCATTTCACAACAGATAATAGTTCTCCAGTATTATTGTATAAAACCTGCTCTTTAATTGTGTTGGAATGACCTCTCCAAGTAACGATAAAAGGAAATCTTATTTCAACCATTGACCAACTGTCAAATAGCTTTGGAAAATAAAGACACAGAGAAAAATAAAAAGATGGAGTACTCACTGACATATTATTAAAAATTCTTTCTTGTAATTGGTTAATAACAAATATAAATTTGGCTCTTTCGATATGCCCCTGTTTGAGACCCATTATATAAAAATTCATTTTTTACACGTAACCTCAAAACTTTTTCCACTTTTTAACCAAACATTCTCCAAAAAATATTATTACAACTCATTCTTTAAAAAAATTGGGCTCAGACACACCCTACTATTAAAAAACTCATTCTTTAAAAAATTGGGCTCAAACACATTATGTTTCCAAGAATGAAGCATCCATTGATTTGCACTTCCAGAATTTTGTTAAAACCCAAGGGCTATCAGTCTCTAGGTAAGACCCTGGACTTCTAGATGAAAAGGAAAAATAGAAGGGAAGCCTAAACAGTAGGCCAAGTAGGGTAAACTTTGTGTACAGATAGATAACACACTCCTTCATGAAGTCAACTGGCCTATCACTCAGTCTTTTCCAATAACAAAAATGTTTTCGTATTAAATATCACTTACAAATGCAATCAGTTATAATAGGGAGTCTGAAACTTACCTTACATCAAAGAAAGGCTTCCTAATATGTTTCTCCAAAAGTTTCCTTGCATGCTCCCGGACCTGTAATCCCACAGATCATATACATACTAAAACTATATGTACAAACCTTGAAAGGCTATTCATTCTCCAAATATAAGTTGCAGTATAAGAACAGTAAATCATTTACGGTAAATACATCGAAGAGTAATAGCCTGTCAAGCGAAATGTGCTGAATCACTATAACTTTGACCTCCCAACTACAAATTTGACACTAGGAAAGAGATTACAACTAAAATACCTTGAAGGGAACTGGATGGCATTGATAATACAAAATTAGCTCCAAGAAGCCGGGGGTTCAAAGATATATGAAAGTATATACCCTAATAACAGTCGAGACCTCCAAAGTGTTTAGAAACAGCACTAGCCAGAAAAACCTCCTCATACTTATCAAGTGCAAGAATCCAAAGTGGGAATAAAAAAGTATTGACTTGAGAAATAGATCATCTACAAGTTACCGTACAAGATTTCACATCGAAGATTACAATTAATTTCCTAAATTGTACAGATCTTACACATTATCATGAACTTTAGATGGTTATGATTTATTAGATACAGTCTCATACTCGAATGAAAAAGATAAAATCGTATTATTATTCCTAGTAGCACATGCCTTTAACTTTCAATATCAACTTTCATCTCAGGGATGCAAAAGATAGAGAGCGAGGGCCAAAGTTGTCTTCCTAAGGTTAGGATGAAATTGACAGAATTCTTACTATTAGGATGAGATATGATGTATCTCATTTAGTTAATACATTTTGATTAGAATATCTTTATTTTAGGATTTGATTTGACAATCCTCTTATTTTAGGGATTTGTTGAAATATACATCTTCAGTCAATCGTGAGTTTAAAAATAAAGAAGAAGCAGGAAAGCAGAAACAGTTTACCTTATTCTCCATAGAACAAAGTGCAAATTTCCATCCAACACTTCGATTAAGATTGCATAAAAGAGCATCAATCCACTCACTCTTACCCGAATTGGGAACTCCAGTAACAATAGTCAACTCTCCCGGCACGACCTGGCTTAGAGTAAGATCAAGAACTAAGTGGATGGCATCTATTTGAAAACGCAATACATCATTAATGTTTTTGACATCAACAGATACCCAATTAGCTGACAATTTGGTGTATATATGAACTAGCGTCAAATCTAAAAATCAGAAATTAAATACGAATATAACGACAAAAATCAAAGATTTGTCTTTGTAAGTATATGCAGTTATCTGAATATTCTTAATTAGTCCAGAAAAGAAGAGTGCAAGAATTTTAAATTTTTAGAAAATTGTTCAGCGGGCCAGAAAATTGTGAGAAAGAACTCATTTAACATATGCAGCTTTCCTCTTGTTCACGAAAAAACTGTGTGTTTCTCTCCTTCAACAATCAAAAAGAGGAGTAGAAGTTCTATGATCACAACCTCTTCATCTCAGAGTCTTTGCCTATCCAAGAGGTATTTCTCATTTGAGCATACCACGTATTTCCCAATGTATGTCCAAGACCACAGAACATTCACCACTTTGCAATGCACAGCCCGTGATTTTTGGTCTCCTTCCATTTTGTATACAGAGAACAATTAGGAGAAATCTTCTTCCTTTCTCAACCTCAGTTTTCAAAATATGATTTCATAAGAACCAACTCCGGTCCTTCAGTAGCAATTGATTGGGGGGAAAAAGAGGCCACCCATGCTTGATCTTTCCCTCTCATGACATCACTCTGAATCTTTTCCAAAAGTGTATAATATAATATGTTGATCGATTCAAGAATATCGCCGTTTTAAATCTTGATGGTTTCTCCGAAATGAAACATCCCTTCCATTTTTTGCCTATGAAAATATTTAACAGGTTCGGAAACTCCTCTTCGAATCCATACCACACCAAACATTGTATCAAAATTCACCCTGGTACCATCCCTTATCTAAAACTACAGAAATTTACCATATTTCTTAACCATCCTGTCCCAGGAGATGGGGTATAAGTTTTAATAACTTTGGTTTATTACAGTGCTTATCACATTGAAAGTTTCTCTCTTATCACCTTGCAAGTTGCAGATTGCAACAGATACTCCAAAGCATTATAAAATAACTTTCCAGAAAATGAAATTTACAGGAAAAAAATGTCCCAAACCAAATTTCCCCAATTTTTGCATCAGCTGAAGAAAATATTCAAATGCATAACCAGAAGAGAGATACTTTAATATGGAAAATCCCAAGTGATCTTTTTACTTGTCACTTCTTTAAACCATTCTCATAAGATTTTTCATTTTAACAAACCGCTTGTGATAATTTACATAATGAGATTCATGGGTGAATATATCAAATCTCAATAACTAGCAAAAGAAGTTATTTTTGTATAAGATTTTTCTAATTTTCCAAAATAAATATAATGTTTATTTTCTCAGAAACAAACATATCCATGCATATCATGCATTCAGATAGATTTTTCCAATTTTTCAGAAAAATTCGCACATATCCAGTGCATATCATTCATATTCAGTGTTGAAGAATTTTGAGAGAGATTGTATCTCATTCTATTAATAAAAAGGAATAATACAAACATTATATATAGTGGGAAAGACAGATATTCCTTCCACTAATCAAGGGATACAGGAAAGACAAATTCCTTAATTTGTTACAATAAACAACGAAACAAACTCCTAAATATTAGGTATTGCCGAAATTATAGTATTTACAGCTATAATAAATAATCAATTACACCTTAATTTCCGATACTAAATCCCAGAAATTCTACACTCCCCCTCAAGCTGGGAGATAGATATTAATCATTCCCAGCTTGTTACTCAATTCTTCAAAGTTGGTTTGAGGTAGAGCCTTGGTGAGGACATCGGCAATCTGAAGATGAGTTGGAGTATACAGCAGATTCACAGTTTCGTTGTCTAATTTTTCTTTAATAAAATGGCGATCAATCTCTACGTGTTTAGTTCTATCGTGATAGACTGGATTTCTAGCTATTCTGATTGCAGCTTGATTGTCACAGAACATGTTAATTGGTCCAATTGCTATACATAGTTCTTTGAGAAGTCTCCTTAACCAAATGCCCTCACAAATTCCATGAGCCATTGCTCTGAACTCAGCTCCGGCACTACTTCGGGCAATTACTGATTGTTTTTTACTACGCCAAGTTACAAGATTTCCCCAAATGAAGGTGCAATACCCTGTTGTAGATCTTCGGTCCACTATAGAACCTGCCCAATCTGCATCCATGAATACTTCAATCTTTCTGTCAGAGTTTTTCCTAAAGTATAATCCTTTCCCAGGTGTTATCTTGAGGTACCTAAGTATACGATAGACAGCTTCCATGTGCTCCGTGGTGAGATTGTTCATAAACTGACTTACAATACTTACAGAGAAGCTAATATCGAGTCTAGTGTGTGACAAATAAATGAGTCTTCCCACTAGTCTTTGATAGCGACCTTTGTCTACAGGTACACCGTCTTCCTTAATTCCAAGTTTTGCAGCCGAGTCCATAGGAGTTTTTGCAGGCTGACACCCTAACATTCCAGTTTCTTTAAGAAGATTGAGGACATATTTAGTTGAGAGACCGAAATGCCTTTATTTGATCTGGCTACTTCCATTCCTAGGAAATACTTGAGATTTCCTAAGTCTTTAATCTCAAATTCCTTAGCTAAAAGTTCCTTGAGTTTAATCATCTCTTCAGCAAAGTCTCCTGTCAAAACAATGTCATCTACATACACAATTAAGATAGATATCTTGTTTGTGGAAGAATGCTTGACAAAGAGAGTATGGTCAGCTTGACATTGAGTGTAACCACAATTTTTTAGAACTTTAGAGAATTGATCGAACCATGCACGTGGGGACTGCTTTAATCCATACAAGGATCTCTTAAGTTTGCAAACCCTGTTGACTGTAGCAGGTGACTTGAAACCAGGAGGGATATCCATGTACACTTCTTCCTCAAGGTCTCCATTGAGGAATGCATTTTTGACATCTAATTGGTAAAGGGGCCAATCCAAATTAGATGCAAGAGATAGTAGAACACGTACTGTATTTAGTTTTGCAACAGGGGCAAACGTTTCCTGGTAGTCAATCCCGTATGATTGGGTGAATCCTTTGGCCACAAGGCGAGCTTTAAATCTGTCCACACTTCCATCAGCTTTGTACTTGACATTAAAAATCCAATTACACCCAACAGATTGTTTTCCAAATGGCAGTTTTGTGAGTTCCCAGGTTTTGTTCTTTTCTAAGGCACGGATCTCTTCTAGAATTGCTTCCTTCCATTCAGGTACTTTGATGGCTTCATGAATAGAGCTGGGCACCTGCATCTGTTGAAGATTGTTCACAAATGCCCTATAACTTGAAGACAGACCTTTATATGAGACATAATTTTGGATAGGATGTTTAGGGCATGATCTTACACTCTTCCTCAATGCAATTGGTAGATCTAAATCATTGTAAGACATCTCGATATTGGCAGGTTCACTAGAGATATTACCTTGAGAATTGTCAGGAAGACCTGAAATTGGGTTAGAGTCTTGGACTTGCTCAAGTTGTGTTCGGTTCTCCATTTCCTCTTGATTTTTTTTTTCCCTAGAGTATACACGAATTTTAGTGTTTGGTGTAGGTTGAATGTGAGGGCGCTTTGCCAAAGGAGTTCAAATTTCAATGGGGTCACTTGGAGGACTGGTGGTATGATTTTGTAGCTCTGTTTGAGTGTCATTTGTGACAGAAATTTGAGGTGTTTTCTGGGAACTATCGGGACTTGAAGATATGGGTATTGTTGGAAAATCAGATGTGGGAATTGTTGGAAAATCAGATATGGGAATTGTTGCAATATCAGAAGACAGGGGTTCCCCAGTAAGTATGCAGTCCCAAAGCTGGTATTCTTTAGCTGAATTCTCCCCCTGAATAGCAGTTTTGGAATAGTATGGATGTTGTTCAAAGAAAGTAACATCCATTGAATTATAAAACCGCTTGGTGATAGGGGAATAGCATTTGTACCCTTTTTGGTTGGAAGAATACCCTAAGAGAATGCATTTTATAGACCTAGGATCGAGTTTTCCTCTATTTTGTTGGTATACATGGACGTAGGCAGAGCACCCAAATACTTTTAACGGAATGGAGGAGATAAGTCTGGTGTTTAGATAGGATTCAAGAAGAATACTGACTGGTGTTTTGAAGTTTAGTACACGAGAAGGCATCCTATTTATGAGATATGTAGCAGTGAGGATTGCTTCTCCCCAGAACTGTTTAGGAACATGAGAAGTAAACATGAGAGACCTGGCTACCTCAAGAAGATGCCTATTCTTTCTTTCAGCTACCCCGTTTTGTTGTGGGGTGTCAACACATGAGCTTATATGTACAATACCATGGCTTAGCAGATAATCGTGAAGAATGGAAGTAAAGTATTCTCTCGCATTATCAGTTTTTAACACCTGGATTTTTGCTTGAAATTGAGTTTGAATCATGGTGTTGAAATTTTGGAATATTTGACCTGCCTCTGATTTTTCTTTCAAAAGGAATATCCAAGAGATTCTAGTATGATCATCCACAAATGTGATAAACCAACGTGTTCCAATTATGCTTTTTATTCGAGAAGGACCCCAAATATCTGAGTGAATCATTGAGAAGGGATGTGATTTTTTGTATGGCACATTATGATAAGAATTCCTTATATCTTTCTCATCACAAAGTACAGTATGGCCTCCGAGAAGAATGAAAACCCCTCATCTGAAATCAACTCCAATGGAGGATCAGAGAGTAGCAATCTTCTCGTTACAAGTCACAAATTAAATGGGCATAATTATCTTCAGTGGTCCCAATTGGTCATGATGTTTGTATGTGGTAAAGGGAGAGATGACTATCTCACTGGAGTTGCTGTTGCTCCTAGCAAAGAGGATTCAAAATTCAGATCATGAAAATCAGAAAATAATATGGTAATGTCATGGTTGATCAATTCCATGGTAAATGATATTGGTGAAAACTTTCTCCTCTATGGCACTGCCAAAGAAATATGGGACGCTGCCAGGGAAACGTTTTCCAGCTCTGAAAACACATCTGAATTATTTGAGGTTGAGAGTATTCTTCACGATCTCCGTCAAGGAGATTCATCTGTTACTCAATATTTCAACCTTCTCAGTCGATATTGGCAACAATAAGACCTATTTGAGGTTCATGAGTGGAAGTGTTCTGGTGATGAAAAGCTGTATAAACAGATTGTCGAAAAGAAGAGGGTGTTTAAGTTCCTTCTAGGACTTAACAAAGATCTTGACGAGGTGCGAGGAAGAGTCTTGGGAACAAAACCTTTACCCAGCATTCGTGAAGCTTTCTCTGAAGTTCGCAGGGAGGAGAGCCACAAGAAAGTCATGATGAACTCTAAGTCTATCACCCCAACATCTGGGGAAGGGTCTGCACTTGTTGTTCGAGGATCTCAATCACCACAAACTGATGATAACAAACACAGGAAGGGAAGACCCTGGTACGACCATTGTCGCAAATCTGGACATACCAAAGATGCATGCTGGAAAATATATGGCAAACCTGCAAATTGGAAACCATCATCCTCACGATTCTCTAATAACAGAGAAGGACAGGGACATGTCGCCTCTTCCACAGACAGTCCTACTCCATCCAAGTCAATCTTGTTCAACAGAGAGCAGATTGAACTCGTGCAGAAGATGTTTGAACAATCTCTATCAGCCAACACATCATCAATAAGTGGAATTGGAACCTTGGCACAATCAAGTAATACCCTAAACGCCCTCAGTGCAAAGCAAGTGAAACCAAGGCCATGGATTGTTGATTCCGGTGCCTCAGATCACATGACAAGTGATGCCTCTCTCCTAATAAATTTTAAGCCATGCCGTGATGAACTTACTGTCAAAATTACTGATGGATCTGTGTCCAAAGTAACAGGAATTGGCTCAGTCATAATTTCAGACTCGCTTTCTCTCAATTCAGTTTTACTTGTTCCAAATCTTGATTGCAATCTTCTATCAATCAATAAACTCACTCGTGACAGGAATTGTGTGGCTAAATTTGTTCATAACCTTTGTGAATTTCAGGACTTGGGTTCGGGGGAGATGATTGGCAGTGCTGAAATGTGTTCGGGACTTTATCTCCTCAAAATCAAAAGTTCTCCTAATAAACAAGCCCTACAGGTTATGTCAAAAGATCAGAATAAAGACATGTCCAGCCTTTGTTCCAATCTTGAAATCCGTGTGCTCATTTTTAGAGACTTAATCGGATCAAATCGCTCGTTGGAGCTTAATGGGCTCTGATACCATGAAGAATTTTGAGAGAGATTGTATCTCATTCTATTAATAAAAAGGAATAATACAAACATTATATATAGTGGGGACGACAGATATTCCTTCCACTAATCAAGGGATACAGGAAAGACAAATTCCTTAATTTGCTACAATAAACAAGGAAACAAACTCCTAAATATTAGGTATTGCCTAAATTATAGTATTTACAGCTATAATAAATAATCAATTACACCTTAATTTCCGATACTAAATCCCAGAAATTCTACAAGTGCTTATCAGCTTCTCCGGGTATATCCTAAAGTCATCAAACATAAATACTAGCTTATCCAATGATTGTGAATAGGTAAACTTGGGAAGAAGCAATAAGCATTGAAAGTGGTAAACCGATAATGTTGTGCAAACCGTACTTACATTATATAATTCATTCAAAGCCCTCCATCCAGTTGAAACTCCAAGCTCATAGCCAAGTGTTTGATGATAATACTGGTCAATCTCTGCAAAGTAATCTTTAAAATTGAACAGCCCCTTTATGGGATAAAGTTCAGCATTTTCAATGACTTCCCTCAATGCAGCAGGACCCATATACATAAGGACCTACATTTAGAATATATGGCATAGTCAAAGCAACAATATCGATAAATGGTAGGAGTAGTGAAGACAACGTTTACCTTTGAGAAGAATGTTTCTACACATGAATGCAAGGACATAATGAATGGTATTAGGATCTAAAAACAATAAATTCAATGCAAAAATTCGCTCATACATGTCTGGAATATTGATTAGTATGAGAGAAGGGTTCTCATACTCTCTAATGCGTCCTAACTGTTGAAGCGTTCAAATTTTACTTTAAACGTGTCGGAAATATGAATTGTGTCTATAAGGACTCAAAAACTACATTACAAAACTGCAACAAAGTAAACAGTTCCAGAGCTTCAAATATTAAAAGAGACACTTCAGATATCATTTTCAGCCACAGTATCAACAATGAAAGGTAATGTCAATACAGAGTCATGCATTAAATGTGATTTCTAATTTCAACAATGCTGCAATTTAGCAGAACACATAATCTTTAACCAGTTTGAAGGAAACGTGTTAAATACCAAATTTTAAACATGCTTTGCATGATTGGAACTGAAAACAGCAGGCACAATGGAGGCACTAGCATCAGTCATTAGAAGCAAAGATTTAAAATCAATTGAATTTATGGTTTATGAGTTGCATGTAACAGATCCTGTAAAGAAGTTAATGAAAAATGAGTCGAAAATTTGGATATTAAACCTCGTTTGCATCTTTAAAAGATTCAGCATTATTCTTCTTTGGCCATTTGACTCTCCAACACCTATTAACCAAAAAAAACTTAGATTTTGTTGAAGTTGATATACTTGTACTAATTGCAAGATATACCTTTCTCTCCCTAAGCGGCGGGCAAGTTCTTCAGCCAAGGCTAGACCAGGAAGGTCCCCATCTGTGGCAAGTATTATGCGAGATGCCTATCAAAAGAAACAAAAGAAAAAGCTTTGCATCTCAACAAATTTTTTTTAAGTCATTTATTTAGTAAAACAAAATATATTCAGAACAAACCTTTTCAATGTACTCTTTGCAGTTCCATAAATATTGATACTTTGTGTCCTAGCTTCAAAGAATGTGTAAAAAGAGCATTAGAACCAACACTTCAATGAAAGTTACATTATAAAATCTATGATGTCGAAGACAAAGTAGGGGAGCTGTCTTGTTTACTGCCTAGCTCCAGCATACATTTGAAAGCCCCAGTAACATTAGAGGACAAACTATCCTAAAAGAAGAGTACATTTTCTTTAAAGATCTAGGAATAAATCGGACAATTATATCAGTAGGAAGAAGTATTATACAGAAATAAATAAAAATAAATAAATCATACTTCTACAATTAGTAGGTCACCGTGTTATTCAAATAAGTCGTGTTATCCGTGGTTTTCCCATATTGCAACTTCCGTAGCAATTAGGTCAATCCGTAAAGTAATTCTTTGATTTGGAGAGAGGAGATCATTGACTCAGCTAATGATTGAAACAAATAACAAAGACAATATTGTGGGAAATGATGAAAAAATAACAATAATGACTCTCCCAAGATGGAAGTCAAAAGGTTCGAGAAAGGATTGCATATAACTCAATCAAGGTTGAAAATGAAGAGCACGAAAATATTGAGGTTAACCATAGATATATAGGGAAATAATGAAAGACATCATAAGTGGTTGGATAAAGAGTTGAAGCAAGACAGATACATCTTCGGTGGAAGGCAGCTCTTTGTTTGAGACTTTTGGAGGTGCACCATCTGGAACGCTCACACAGTTTTTAAAACCAGCTTCTTCCATTGCAAGCTTATCCATTTCACCTTCAACCTTTATTTAAGAATATAAGAATAAGTAGCACAAAAAGTCAAATGCATTGACCATAGACAACAGAACCAGGAAGAAATTAAACTTACAATGATAATATCGCTAGCTCCCTCTATATCATCCAGTCCATAAAAAATCTTTTGAGTATTTGCTTCCTGCACATCAGCGTTACCAGCTAAATACTATGAGACTTGCGACGGTAAAACATCAGAACTATTTCTATGTTATACTTAAAAAAGGCACATCAGAAAACAATAACAGTCTAATTAGTAGCCTGCGCCATATTATGAAAGGTTGGTGCAGTAAGAGAGTTATATAATCACAAAGCATCTTACGCAAGAGTGTTTCTTGGAAATTTAAACCTTTTCAGGGATGAAGAATAACTAACAATTCATATAAACATACCTTCGGAATTTAAATCTTTTCAGGCATGAAGAATAACTAACAATACCTATAAACATACCTGCCAAAATTTCTTAGTAATGTCCCTATACTTGCAGCTCACAAGTTCTCCATTCCTTCGATAGGTGAAAGCAATAGCAATCTGTATAGAAATCTTCATCAGGCATTACTCCAGCAAAATTAGTAATTAAATCAAAGTCAAATTACTAGAATACAACAGTTTAGAAGAGTCTAAACAATGTTTTTGACACTCTCTCTCTCTCTAAAGTCTGTTCCCCTGGCCTTCCTCTTCTTTCAGGAAAAGAATAAAGGGCCCAGGGTTCGGGAGGGATGTGTTTTCGTTGGCACTGCAATAACTTTAATTACTGCCATGGCTAGAAATAATTCTTCAGCACATCAAGATTGCCACTTGATTGCAGACAAATATACAGGAACATTTCTGAAAAGAAAACAACGTCTGCACCTGGTTGCCACTTCTTTTTTGCATTACAGAGTTTCTTCTCAGTGTTTCTCTAGATATCATTCGCTCAGCAAAATATGCAAGTAGCTGAAACAACAGTCAAAAGGCATCAATGAGGTTGAACATCTCGGTCAGATATAGATAAACCACAAAGAGAACTGGTATAGGATCATAGACAACAAACAAACGGTCTACTTTGATCTTAACAATGAAAAGAGGTACAAAATTTTACAGTGCCAAACATGCAGCAAGAACAATATTAGCAAATATATTCTACCTGCCAGTGATTCGTATGAGAGAGAATGTCCAAACATAGATAACAAATAATAGTAACTACCTCATTGCACAAAGGTTCCAGTTCCAAACTCTCCTCTGTGATTTCTCTGAGTGGTTGTTTTACTTTGCTGATTCTATTCATTTTTGCATAAGTAGATTTTACATCAGCAAAGGCCTACAAGCAAAATAACCAGTAGACAACATGAGTTGTGCACCATCAGTACTCCGTAGTCAGTTAAGCAACTTCATTTAAAGCATACCCTTGTAGTGCCTCTCCACCCACATTTAGCCCGAAAGCAGTTCCACACCGCTGCAGCACTATGACATATAGGTGTATAGTACCATACTTCTGTTAAAAGAAAATGAAAACACATAACACAAAGTATAACCGCAACTTACCCATCTTCTGTGATGTGAAGAGATAAGCTTTTCTCTTCTGAATCTCCACCATTACACTACATGTCAACAATGAGGGGACTCAAGATAATGAAAACAAACAAGTAAAATGAGAACAATCCAGTATGTGGTAGATACAAATGCAGTCCCATTGACAAAAACATATGAAATTAACATATTTATGTCGGCATGTTTGGTATAGATATATAGTACTTGTCTCTTCATATATACAGTAGTAGTAAAAATGTTAAATTACTAAATCGCAAGATCTTTATAGCTGAATAAACTGAAACATGACAAGTCTCTCGGAAAAATAATATTCAAAAGCACGTACACTTGGACATACTAAACCATAGTATTGCCCTGGCATAAAAGCATCACCATCAATTCCGATATCCTCCAACTTCTGTTTTAGCATCCTTAGCTGCTCCGAATCTAGCACTTGCTGCTCTGGGGTCTCCAAAACTACTCCAGAAACTAGACAAAATTTAATAAAAGCATTCTTCAAAATCCATTAAAAACAGAACAAACAAAACTAGCCACGTACAATAATCTTGAAATATGGTACCACCTCTTGATGCTGTTGCAGTGCTTCTATGATATCTCGTTTTTGTTTATCTTTCTATAAAATTAAATTTGCTTTACCCCTCTTTTAATCCAACTTGTGCATATATGAAATATGAACATATAATACCCCCATTCTTAAGTACCAAATTATATATACAAACTTTAAATACCAAATGAATTTTGAAAAGGAGGTTTCTTAACAATAACGCTCTAAAAATGTGCTCTCTGCTTAACTAGTAGTACCTTCATCTGACACAGTCGATTTTCAAACAATAATAACACGGCAAATATATTACAAGTGAACAAAACATCAAAAAAGAAAAGAAAAGAAAAGAAATAGAATAAAAAAACCTGGTCCGGGTATAGGCATAGCAGCATGGGGGTAAGAACACAAGCCCGAGGTCATCCTATGAATTGGAGATATGGGTTTCGGAGAAGAAGTAGAAAATGCTATATTTTTCCTATGAGTAGAAAATAACTGAGGTTGCGAAGTTGAAGAAAAATGGGCCAAATGTGTATGTGTATGCTTTACGGGCGTGAGTGTAGACTTAAGAAGAAGCAAGTGTTTGGAGCCCATGAAAATTACTCTGTTGCAGTTGGAATTGGTGTTCAAAAATAGTCTGCTCTGAGGTAAAAGAAGCATATTTTGAGCTGCAAGGGTTTCTTGTTATTGACAGGACGACAAAGAAGAAGTAGATGCTTGCAATTCCATGGATGAGAGAGAGAGCAGCAAAAAAGGTTTAAGAAGTGGCTACTTCGATTTTACAGTCTTTTCGGCGACTGGTTTTCTGGAGTTAATTGTTCCATTGGTGACTGAATTTGGGATCATGTTTTTGATTAGTTATTGAAATTTAGAATGTTGAATCTTGATTATTGAACTTAAGTTCATATTTTCGATTACTTGTTGAAATTTAAAATATAGAAATTTGACTATTAAACTTTGAAAAATATTGTACATTACTCATCAAATTTTGAAAAATACTGTACATTATTTCCTATAAAACTGATATTTTTCAATATTTTACAATTAAGCTAGTGCGTAACGTATGATATATTACGAAGTTCAGTAGTCAAAACTCGATATTTTAAATTTTAGTTAGCAATCTAAGACATAGATCTAAATTCAGTGAGCAATCGAAGGTACTTTTCAAAGTTCAATGATCAAAATTCAATATTTTAAATTTTAATGATCAATCAAAGACATAAATTTAAATTCAGTGACCACTAGAACAATTAACTCAATTTTCTCTCTTCTTTTTGCATTCTTGAGAATAACTCCTTCAATAAGCGTGTTTCCTCCGTATTTAACACCATATTTGGTGGAATTTTCTTATTTTCTAAATATTTTGTATCAAACACTTCTTTCTCAGTTATAAATAAAATGCTAATATGATCAGCTTTACTTTCAAATCAAGTACTATAGGACTTGTTTAAGCCTCATTAATTGGAAAAATGCATTTTGATATAGTAGATTGATAGGGAACGTGTGATTAAAAAATAAGAAAAAAATTAGGATTTGCATTTAACGTTATTTTATTGAAAAATGTGTGGTTTAAAAGAATATAAAGAAAAATGTGTTTTGGAGAAAAATGATAATCAACCAATCTTATATGTCGAACTTTTATTAAAAAAATGATTATTTATTTTAAAATATATATTATACTTATAATTAACTATTTTAATCTCCGCCAAACACACACTAAGTAGTATCTCGTTCTTTGGCTTAGGTACGATAACCTGGTGAAGACTTAAAAAATTGCATATCCTAATAAATTTTGAAAATTAGGTTCATAGTTATCAAACTTGATCTCAACATTGATCTCCTCCAAGGATTTGGGTCACCAATTCATTTGTCAAATCGATTGATCATTGGTTGGGCTAATGTGTTTAAATTCTAGCAGTGGCCAATTTTTAAAAGTTCGACAAATGAAGAAAATATAGTTAAAATTTTTGTTTATTCTAATGTTCATTTTCTTTCAATATCTAACTTTTAATAATAATGGAAATGAGAGTCTACTATTCATGCAATAGTAAATGAATCCAATTTTTCTATGCATGATATCATTTTTTATTTTTCATTTTGTTTATGTCAAACAAATGTTCTTCCACACATCATCCCACTAGCATTAAAAAAATAATTATATCAAACAAATGTTTTTCCACACATCATGCCACTAGCATTAAAAAAATAATAATAATTTTAGTAAATATAAACTGCCATGAGCAAAAAAAACTCTTCGCACATGAGTTTTAAAAAAAATAAAAATAAACTCTTCGCACAGTATGGATATATGACATACCATGTGTGGAGTAAAAAATAAAAAAAAAATTCTCCGCATAGTACGGAGAGATAACAAACCATGTGCGAAGAGTTGGCAAACTCTCCGTACAGTGCGAAATAAAAAAAATCTCGCTACACAATGCGGAGAGATGACAAACACCATGACAAAACTCTTCGCACAGTGTAGAGAGATGACATTCTGTGCGGACATTGTCTTCACAAAGTGTGGACTCTCCATATAGTGTTGAGTAAAAAGCAAAAAAAAAAATTCACATAGTAGGAAGAGTTAGAAAACTCTCCATACAGTGTGAAATTAAAAAAAAAAAAAACTCTCCGCACAGTGACTGTCACGTGCGTCGCACGAATTTTGCATTTATCGAATTTTTATTAGTGTATGAATTTTAATTTTTAGGAAAGTTTTTGAAGCAATATCTAGCAATATTTCCATTATATAAGAAAATAATTGCAAATTATTTTATAATTGCATAACAGTATTGTGTCATCTAGAAAAAATATACTTATATATTTCATACTTGAATAAAAAATATACGAAATTATACAAATTATTTTGCTTGTATTCTTTGATAGTGTTAATATGATTGAGTTGAATATGAAGATTATATTTCTAAATATTGTGTAATTCAATATTGAAAAATTAAAGATTGAGCACCATATTCATATGCATTTATATTTTGTGCTTCATATATATTTAATATTTATTTTATGCTTATGGTGAAAAAATAAAAATTTGGAATTTTTTTTGAAATTCGGTTTGGTAAATGAATGTACGGTGTTCTGCAGTCTCGGCATTTGTAAGTGCAAAAATTGGTATATAAAAATATAGTAAAATGCAAATACGGTAAGCAACTTATACAATTAGTTGCAAATACGGTAGACAGTATATACGGTAAGCTGCAAATACGATAAGTTGTTTGCAAATTCAGTAGACTGCAAATACGGTAGGCAGTATTTACGGTAAGGTGCAAATACGGTAAGTTGTTTGCAAATACGGTAGGCTGCAAATAGAGTAGGCAACATATACGATAAGCTCTAAATATGGTAAGCTGCATATATTGATTTATAATTTGTTATAAATATATAAAATTTATTTAATATTGAATTTCTTAAGTATTAAATACTGTAATTCAATATTGTTTTCTTTTTTATAATTGTATTTTCGAGAATTTTTTTAAAAAAAAAAGTGGTTATGAGATTGCTAATTTTTAAATGTGTTTTTTTGTTGAAAATAAAAATGATTTTTTTATATTATTTGTAAAAAAAATTATTGTAATTTTATTAGCGTAATAAGAAGATTTATTATGTATTTTTATTTTTTGCATTTTGTGAAGAATATTATTTATGGTAATTGACAAATATTCTTCCACACACGCATTATGCCAACAACATAAAAAAATAATAATAATTTTAGTATATATAAACTCCATGAGACAAAAAAAAATCTCCGCACAAGAGCAAAAAAGAAAAAAAAAGACTACAATGTACGGAGAGTTGAGAAACCATCTCTCCACAAGATATGAAGAGAAAAACAAAAACTCTCGTAACTTTATCTCCAAGTTCCAAAATGCCTTTTCTTAAACAACTTTTGAGCAATGCGTTGTACACTTTAATTCCTGGCCTACAACCCGAAAGTATAATTTCATTGAAAATTATATCCGCTTCTAATGTCCAAAAGCTATTATGAAGCAAGTGTAAAATATTGAATTTGGGTGATACCCTAGAGCCTCCATTTGTGAAAGCAATATCATGGTACAATTAATATCTCATTATTTGCACAACTCACATATTGTTTCATTGTATGAATCACGAGAAATCTCATTTCCAATACCGTAAATATGATTTGTATACTCAGAAATTGAGCTGTGACTGAAATTTAAAGAAGACATAATTGATGTTGAGCCATATTTTTCGACTTCATTTCGTTGTGTATACGAAAAATTTACAATCTTGAAATTTGACTTGCAATTAAGGAATTTGAAAACAACTCATCACATAGTGCGAAGAGTTTTTTTCTCTCTACACTGTATGAAGAGCTGGTTTGCCATCTCTCTGCACTGTATGGAGAGTTTGTTTTTACTCCATACTGTGTAAAGAGTTTGCCAACTCTCCACACGTGGTTCAACTTTCTATGCACTGTGCGGAGAGTTTTTTTCTCTCCGCACTATGTGGAGAGTTATGCTATGTTGTGGACCAACTCTTTGCACTGTGCAAAGAGATTAACTCTCTCCGCACAGTGCGGAGAGTTTTTTTTTGCTCTTCGCACTATGCGGAGAGGTTTTTTTTACTCCGCACTGTACGGAGTTTTTTTCTCTCCGCACCTTTTTTTATTTTTTATTTTTAATCCGCACTTGTTCAACTCTTTTCGCACTGTGAGAAGAGTTTTTTTTTTTTTCAATTTTACAATATTGAATTACACAAAATTTAGAAATATAATCTTCACATTCAATTCAATCATATCAACACTATCAAAAAATGCAAGCAAAATAGTTTGTATATTTCTTTTTCAAGCATGAAATATACTAGCATTTTTTTCTAGATAACATACTGCTATGCAATTGTAAAAATAATTTACAATTATTTTCTTATATTATGGAAATATTTTTAGATATTATTTCAAAAACATTTCAAAAGACTAAAATTCATATATTAAATAAAATACGATAAATACAAAATTCGTGCAACGCACGTGATAGCGACTAGTATTACAAAACGTTCGAGAAAATTACAATAAATGAAGAATGCGTGTCTCATCTGAAGAACCTCCCAACCCCAGATAAAAAAATAGCATTCCTTAGGCCTTACGTATAATTTGTGTTTTTAACTCTCTATCTTGGATATAATTCAGAAATTGATGCTTCATTTATAGAGAAGGTTGTTGAGGACAACGTAGATTTGTCTGAATCTTGTACTTCGGGCAAGCTCTGTGTTCTACCACAAAGAAAAAATGTAGGTTGACAAGGAACAGCAAGAGTGGCTGAATAATTTTTGAGCATCAAAAGTATTGAAGCCATGTTTTGTCTTTCATCTGCATCTTCTTGAACTCATAGTAAGTCAATTTGAATTCATCGAATTACTTCACTTCTAGCATATGCGTTTTGTAACGTTAGATCCATCAATTCCAAGGGTCTATTGTCTCTCCAAACCTGCACATCAATAGTCGTTGAAGTTTTTAATCTATAATACTTACAGTAGCAATAAATTAAATAATTAAAATAAAATAAATAAATAAAAGAAGCAAAACTACTCATGAAGGTCTACTATTATTAAGAAATATGGCGTCAACAAATAATTTGGAGTTCGCACAGCTTATGAGATCCTTAGCACCATCTAATTGGTAGAAGCTACTATTCTTCCTCCGACTTATGATTTCCAAAATAAGGATACCAAAGCTAAAAACATCTGATTTTATAGAGAACTATCCATGCATTGCATATTTCGGAAACATGTAACCACTACAAGCCCAAAAAAAATAAAAATATATC